TACGAGGGTGCAGAGGGAGGGTGAGGATTATTTACTAACTAGATAATAGATAACAATTATCTTAGGTGAAGGGAAGGACAGCACACACTACAGGGGAAGTCAGCACAACTGGACTAAACCAAAGCTAAGAAGTATCCTGAATACAATCAAACACTTTGAGGGACAGAGTAGCAGGGGTAGGGGCCTGGGGACCATGCTTTCAGGGGACATCTAGGTCAACTGGCATAACAAAGTTTATTAAGAAAATGTTCCACATCCTACTTTGGTGAGTGGCATCTGGGGTCTTAGAATCTTGCAAGCAGCCATCTAAGATGCATCAGTTGGTCTCAACCACCTGGAGTAAAGGAGAATGAAGAACAACAAAGACACAAGGAAAGTAGTAGCCCAAGAGACAGAAAGGGCCACAGAAACCAGAGACTTCATCAGCCTGAGACCAGAAGAACTAGATGGTGCCCGGCTACCACCAATGACGCCCTCACAGGGAACACAACAGAGAGTCCCTGATGGAGCAGGAGAAAGGTGGGATACAGAACTCAAATTCTATAGTAAGAAGACCAGACTTAATGGTCTGACTCAGACTGAAGGAACCCCGGAATGCATAGCCCCTGGATTCTCTATCAGCCCAGAACTAAAACAATTTCCGAAGCCAACTCTTCAGACAGGGATTGGACTGGACTGTGGGACATAAAGTGATACTCATGAGGAGTGTCCCTCTTAGCTCAAGTAGATATAAGAGACTAAATGGGCAGCTTCTGTCCGGAGGTGAGATTGGAAGGCAGAGAGGGTTAGGAGTGGGGAGAATGGACATGGGGAATTAGGGGTGGAAAGGAGGAGTGTGCTGTCACAGTATGGGGAGAGCAATTAAGAGTCACATAACAATGTATATATAAATTTTCGTATGGGAAAAAATAAAAAACTAAAAAAAAAAAAAAAGTAAGCCTGTGAACAGACTCAATTTGCTGAAAGGATGAGAAGCCACAAATATCTCTCCTGGTGATATGAGTTACATTTCTGTTCTTCAGAACTAGAGTACTTTTGTTAACGCTAATAAATTAGACAGGAGTGGGATGATAACTTTTTTGGTTCCTGGAACCCTATATTAATAAAATTACTGACAACCAAAAAAAAAAAAAAAAAGAAACCAGATGACCTATTGCGTTGGGCAAATCTGCTGTAAAAGACCTCTTTAAAGTGTTGAAAAGCAAGGATGTCACTTTAAGGACTAAGGTGGGCCTTACCCAAGCTATGGTATTTTCAATCACCTCATATGCATGGAAAGCTGGACAATGAATAAGAAAGACCAAAGAAGAACTGACACCTTTGAATTATGGTGTTGGGGAAGAATAGTGAATATACCACGGACTACCAGAAGAACGAACAAATTTGTCCTGGAAAAAGTACAACCAGAATGCTCCTTAGAAGCAAGGATAGTGAGACTTCGTCTCGTGTACTTTGGACATGTTATCAGGAGGGACCAGTCCCTGGAGAAGGACATCATGCTTGGTAAAGTGGAGGGTCAGCAAAAATGAGGAAGACCCTCAACAAGATGGATTGACACAGTGGCTGCAACAATGGGCTCAAGCATAGCAAAAATTGTGAGGATGGCGCAGGACTGGGTAGCGTTTAGTTCTGTCGTACATAGGGTCGCTGTGTGTCAGAACTGACTGGATGGCACCTAACAACAACAACAGTCCATCCAGTGATTCAACAAGTTTGCAATGAGCATCTACTATGGGTGGCACTGTCCTCATGGAGCTCCCTGTCTGTGGGAAGATGTTACCAAGGATCACATGTGAGCCAAAGAGATGAGCTACCAGATTCATAAAGTTTACGGCTGAAAGGGAGACATCACCTTTCAGCCAAAGATTAGACAGGCCTATGAAACAAACAATAACACACATGAGAAAGGTGCTTCTTAGTTCAATCAAGTATACAAGACCAAATGGGCAACACCTGCCCAAAAACAAAGACGAGAAGGCGGGAAGGGACAGGAAAATGGACATGCGGAACCCCAGGTGGAAAGTGAAAAGGGAAGAGTGCTGACAAACGTGGGGATTGCAACCAATGTCACAAAATAATTTGTGTATAAATTTTTGAATGAGAAACTAATGTGCTCTGTAAACTTTCACCAAAACACAATAAAAAATGGGGAAGACAAATATTAAACAAATTCATAATTACATGTATAAATAGACATGAATACGCATACAATAACGTGCTGTGGATGACCTCTGATTTGAATTGTGAGCTCAGGAAAGGCCTGAGGATGAGGAGGAGACAGCCAGACAGGGAGGCACAGCAACAACCCAAAGAGTGAAAGGAGGTAAGATCTTATGACCTTGTTGTTAGGAATCCATGAACAGGAGCACAGGGCACTTCATTCAGTGGCTGCCCCATAAAAGTTGTTCAGTAAACTCAATTCCTTGCCTGTGTGTACTTCTCTGCTCCCAGGAAGACCTTGAAGAGTAATGAGAGCTCTTTAAAACATGCAGTCGTTAAAGAAGGGCAGTATCTAGAGGACTACTTTGAATGCAGTGGGCTTGTTTTGTTTTAATTACTTTATTGTGGTAAAACTATATATAACAAAATGTTCGCCAGTTCAATATTTTTTAGATGTACAATTCAGTGACATTGATTACGTTCATCCTGTTGTGCAACCATCACCACTATCTGTCCAAATTATTCTGCCACCATCAAGAGAAACTCAGTTTCCCCTAAGTGAATGTCGTGGCTTTAATTTGTAAGACACACAGCTTCTAGAAGAAAAACTCTGGTGAGTAAATGCATCCTGCACAGCATAAAAACTCAAAAAATAGTGGCTGCATTTATTTATTTTCTTGTTTTTACCAACCTGATGATGCTTTAAGACACGTAGGTAACACTCCTGCTCCATTCTACCTGTGACTGGTGAATTTAAGCACCCCCAGTGCTGGGCGCTCGGCTGGAGCTGCCCCATGGTGAACCGTGGAGCTTACGAGCCCTGTCACAGCCTTATAAACACTTGGCACATTGTATATTTTTTATTGTCAGTCTCCCCCCCACACCCCACTAGAATGTAAGCTCCATGAAGACAGGAATTTTTTTTTTTTGTATTTTAGATGGTTTACAGAGAAAATTAGTTTCTCATTGAACAATACACATATTGTTTTGTGACAGTGGTTGCCAACTCCATGACATGTCAACACTCTCCCCTTCTTGACCCTGGGTTCCCCATTACCAGCTTTCCTGTCCCCTCCTGCCTTTTCGTCCTTGTCCCTGGGCTGGTGTGCCCCTTTAGCCTTGTTTTGTTTTATGGGCCTGTCTGATCTTTGGCTGAAGGGTGAATCTCAGAAGTGACTTCAGTATTGAGTTAAAAGGGTGTCTGGGGCCACATTCTCAAGGCTTCTCCAGTCTCTGTCAGACCAGTAAGTAAGTCTGGTCTATTTTTGTGTGTGTGAGTTAGATTTTTTTTGACATTTTTCTCCAGCTCTGTCAGGGACCCTGTATTATGATCCCTGTCAGAGCAGTCTGTGGTGGTAGCTGGGTACCATTTAGTTGTGCTGGACTCAGTGTGGTGGAGGCTGTGGTTACTCATGGTCCATTAGTCCTTTGGACTATCTTTCCCTTGTGTTTTTGGTTTTCTTCATTCTCTCTTGCTCCGAACAGGGTGAGACCAGTAAAGCATCTTAGACGGTCTATCACAAACTTTTAAGACCCCAAGATGCTACTCACCAAAGTACAATGTAGAACATTTTCTTTATATACTATGTTATGCCAATTGAGCTATATGTTCCCTGAGACCATGGTCCCCAGCCCTCAGCCCAGTAATTTGGTCCCTCAGTGAGTTTGGTTGTGTCTATGGGAGCTTCCATGACCTTGCCTTGGTCAAGTTGTGCTGGCTTCCCCAGTATTGTGTACTGTCTTACCCTTCAAAGTTACCACTTTTCTAATGTCTGTTTAGTGTTTTGCCCTCCCCATTCCTCCCCTCCCTTGTAACCATCAGATTGTTTCTTTTTTGTGTGGAAACCTTTTCATGAGTTTTTATAGTAGTGGTCTCATACAATATTTGTCTTTTTGTGATTGACTTATTTCACTCAGCATAATGTCCTCCAGTTTCATCCATGTTATGAGATGCTTTGCATATTCATCATTGTTCTTTATTATTACATAGTATTCCATTGTGTGCATGTCCCATAGTTTGTTTATCCATTCATCTGCTGAAGAGCATCTAGGTTGCTTCCATCTTTTTGCCATTGTGAACAATGCTGCAATGAACATGGGTGTGCATGTGTCTACTCGTGTGACAGCTGTTATTTCTCTGGGATCTATTCCTAGGAGTGGGACTGAGGACAGGAATTTCTGTCATTTTATTCACTGCTATATTCCTGACACCTAGAACACTGCCTAACAGGGGTGGACTATTTAACCAGCAAGCAAAGTACGCACGGGCTTACCTTAAGCAAGTTTCAAACAGGCTTACTTGTGTTTATTTACTAATCTGTAGTGCACAATTTCACATGGGTTTCACCACAGCTTACCTTGCTTATTGGGTAATCTGTCCCTGCCGTGGCTAACATTCAGTAAGCACTCAATATTTGTTATATGAATGAATGGTCACTGCCCAATGCTCCTTTCATATGATTTTTTACCCTTTGGAGTACAGTGATAGATGGATGCAGAATAGATGTATTCCAGTGTGCAGAGGAAAGGAATTACTTCCTTAAAGTGTTTCCTCTCTATTTTCGTAGTGAGTCCCTGAATGGTGCAAAGGGTTACTGTGCACAGCTGCTAACCAAAATGTTGGAGGTTCAAGTTCACCCAGAGGCGCCTTGGAAGAAAGGCCTCGTGATCTACTTCCAAAAAATCAGCCACTGAAAACCGTATGGAGCACAGTCCTACTCTGACACACATGGGCGCCACTCTGCAGCAGCTGTTTTGGTAGTGGTTTATTTTAGCAGCATGCTTGGCTATGGTGAGCAGCGTTGCTGCCTTTCAGTAAGATGATAACGAGCCCCACCCACCGTCATGGGACCTGCAGGGCCTCAGGTAGGTAGAGTGCACTCTGCCCCTTTATCAGGCTTGGCTGCCTGGCTGTTTTGGCGACAGGAACAGGAACCTGTGAAACCTGCCACATCCTAGCAGGGCTGTGAGAGTGATGGTGCGGTCGGCTCTGTTCCCTGCTCTTTTCCCTGGCTCATGAGAACAGTGTGCCCCAGAGGTGGCTGCTCCTTCAGCCCGGGCCCCAGATTAAGACCCAAACCCACCCACAGTCAACATGCAATATCAGTGAGAAATAGCATTGTTGTAGGCCACTAATTTGGGGGCTGTTATTGCAGCAAGGAGTACAGGCAGTCCCCAGGTTACAAATGTCTGACTTACGTACAACCCAAAGTTACGAACCAACCCCAGTAAAGCCTATTATATTAAAAATTTGAGGTACATTTAGTGGTTCATAATAACAAACAGGTACTACTTTGAGATGCGCCTCAAAACTTTATTATTTTTATTACTGTATTGTTATGTTAAAGATGTTTCAGTGTATCTGGAAGTGTTTCTTTAACGTTTTTTATGCATAGAAAAGTAAACTATATGCTAAGACAGACATCTGACTAACTGACATTAGATATGAACCGTACCTAACTGTTCCGACTTACATATATATTTGATTTAAAGACAGAGTTAGAAACAGAACTTGCTCATAATGTGGGGACTGCCTGTACCTCGGTGATGTAAATGGTTAACATGCTTGGCCGCTAGTCGAAAGATTGGCAGTTCAAGTCCACCCAGAGAGCCCTCAGAAGAAAGGCCTGGTGATCTTCTTCCAAAAAATCAGCCATTAAAAACCCTATGGAGCACAGTTCTACTCTGACACATGTGGGGTCGCCATGAGTCAGAATCAACTCAACAGCAACTGTTTTACTGCAGCAAAGCTAATACTCCAATCATTGCCTATTTGAGGCAGTGAGAATTAAGGAGGGGGGAAAAACTTAAGCAAACTTAACAAGGCTGCATATAAAACCTCATCACAGAAGAAATACAGACATCTCAAATTATAAGTAAATGAGAGAATGACCCCATTTACAAAAATTTATTTATACACAATTCTTAGGAACGTATCTTTTATATAGCCAATCTGTCTATACTTTATGAAAATATTTTAAGAATATTAGAAAGTCAAACCTTGAAATGAACTGAAGAAGGTTACAATGTTGGGATGTTTCATCTTTGCCAGAAGAATGACTTCTTTCTTTGAAGCTTCTTTTTCAGGGATGGGCATCTAAAGTATATTAAAAGGCAGAGTAATCTGTAGAGGTGATTTTCTTTCAAGAACATGCTTTCTGCGCGCCCCCATCTAAAATTCTCTAGGATTTCACTAGCTTTTTTTTTTTTTTTTAATAATATTTTATTATGTTTTTGGTTAAGATTTACACAGCAGTTTAGGTTCCCATTCAACAATTTCTACAGAAGTTGTTCAGTGACATTGGTTACATTCTTCACAATGTGTGAACATTCTCATTATTTCCATTCTGGTTGTTCCATTTCTATTAATCTAGTTTCCCTGCCCCCTTACATTCTCATCTCTTTTTTAAAGTAATTGTTGACCATTTCGTATTTCATAGGTAATTCCACTACCACCACCCCCTTTATTTTTTTATTTTATTGTGCTTTAGGTGAAAGTTTACAGAGCAAATTAGTTTCTCATTCAAAAATTTATACACGTATTGTTTAGTGACATTGGTTGCAATCCCTGCAATGTGTCAGCACTCTCCCCTTTCCACTCTGGGCTCCCCGTTTTCATTGGTCCAGTTTTCCTGTACCTTCCTGCCTTCTTATCTTTGTTTTTGGGCAGGTGTTGCCCATTTGGTCTCATATACTTGATTGATCTAAGAAGCACACTCCTCACATGTATTATTGTTTGTTTTATAGGCCTGTCTAATCCTTGGCTGAAAGGTGGACTTCAGGAGTGGCTTCAGTTCTGAGTTAGCAGGGTGTCCAGGGGCCATAGTCTTGGGGATTCCTCCAGTCTCTGTCAGGCCAGTAAAGTCTGGTCTTTTTTGTGAATCTGAATTTTGTTGTATATTTTTCTCCCATTCTGTCCAGGACCCTCTATCGTGATCCCTGTCAGAGGAGTCAGTGGTGGTGATTTTTTAAAGGAGCACAGCACTTACGGGTGATATTCATTATTTTGTGGGATTTCACTAGCTTTGAATGTCACCGCCAAACCTGATGCCTCAAGGGCAAGGAATGACATTTCTAGAATTAGCAGAGTGCCCTGTATGTAATCAATGGTTTGTCAATAACAATCATAACCAGGAAAATAAATATTTCTGGTGAAGTTTTGCATGATTAAAAGTTCAGATGGGGATAATAGCTTAATTATCTAGGCATTTGGAGGAAAGTCATTTTAATATTTATCTTTTAGCAGCAAAATAGTTTTTTATTAAGATGCAATGTTCCAAAAGCAATCACTGCTGAGAATAAATAAATGAAATCTAGAAAAAGAAAATGCATTCTACATCACATAAATCTAACCAGTAAATCTCTGTATTAAGATTACATTACTCACTTTCAAATAAAAATGGCCTCTTATGACGTCACTTTAGATATGCTGCATTTTCTTATTGTTCTATTTATTATTTGTGGACAGTACTTTTCAAGTGTTTCTGGTGCCAGTGCCAGTGGCCACGCCTCATTTCTACCTTCACTTTCCGGTTCCTGACACTGAAACCACTTGCCATTTCTACTCTGACTCCCCACCCAGCGAACCTTACCTTTCTGGCCTCCACGTACCACCCATTCCTCTCCACTGCTCCCTCTGCAGTGCTGCCAACACTGGCACACAGGTAAAGTGTGGGTTCCAAACTGCTCCTTTTCCCATAAGGGTTTTAAATTTAAGAATTTTTTTCTAAATTTGCATTCTCATTTGCAGCTTCCCTGGCTCCTCGCTATGACTATGTATTCTTTGGTAAATTAACCAGCACCTCTAAGCTTCAGTGCTCACCCTCCCCTCAATTTAAATTGCACAGTCAGCACTGATGAGTTTCAGAACAAAAATAACAAGATTACTCCCACCAGATTGATAGATTTAGCTACTTAAAAAAAAATTTAACTGTTATTCCTCAAAAGAAGAGTATAAACAAAATAAAAAGGCAAGCATAAGTTAGATAAAAATACTGGCAACATATATGACAAAGATTGTGTATTTATAATATACAAGGACTTCTGGCAAATCAGTAACAAAAAAGGAAAACAGCACAATAGAAAAATGGGAAAAGTACATGAATAGGTAACTCACAAAAAAAAAAGTAGAAATAACAACAGAAGAAAACATTCAACCTGACTTGAAAAACTAAACTGAACCTGATATAATGTTTCATATATGAAACTGACAAAGACAAAAAGAATGTTAATACCCACTATCAGTCAGAAAACAGCAAAATGGACCCTCCTACTTCTGGTGAAGTGTATAAATTGGTAACATCTTACTGGGAAGGCAATGTTACATAAAATAATAAGAAACTTTAAGATGTCCCTGTTTTTAGGGAGAGAGAGAAATCATCAAGTGTTTACAATGTTTAATTTATAAACTTAGTTACCACATATTTAAAACCACACATAACATAAAATATGCTAAATTAGGAAGATTACTTCTAAATTAGAAAGATTACTCTTTTTTTCCCACTTTCATATTTCCTGACTCTGCATTTCTTACCTTCTCTTCCGGCATCTTTGACATTCGTGTCTTCATCATCCCTGGAACTACTTTGTGAAGGGAGGAATTGACTATCATACTTGTCCTGAGCACATTTTCATTTTTGTCTAACTTGTTTGAGATCCAACATTTTAAAATCTATGTATGATGTTGTCTCTGGAAATTGTATTCCAAGTCACAAGTACCTATTTGCATAACATGAGGGCAGCCTTTTTATTCTCCACAACATAACCACCTACTGTATTGCTTTTAAAAGTAATATTTAAAGTTTTGTCTACAACGAAAGCCAACACTTGCAAGTGTGAGGTTGTAACCCCAAGAATAATTACTAAATCCCTGCTAAATTTCTTTGCTTCCTTTTTGCCAATTCCGGAAGATGACCTCTAGAAACATTCCAAACTAGCATTGATTGAGGTCAGGTGGGGCTAATGTTATTTCCCCGAACAGGACTTTGTTGTTAAAATAAAGTAACTAAGAGAGAAAAAAAATAAAAAAAGATGTCCCTGTTTTTTACGTACTAATTCTTCTGGAAAGTTATCTAAAAATAATCAGAAATGTGCCCTAGGGTTCGCATATAAAAATCTTAATTACAGTGTCTTATTGTTAGTTTTTTTAATTACCCTAATAATGCATGCCTGTGATTTTAACAAACACTTTAAGCCAGACAGAAGTGAATAAAGTAAAAGTGAAACTTCTCCTTCTCCTCCCCACACATCCCCTGCATTTCTATCCCTTAGGGGTGACTACCCTGGGGGCACGGTGGTTAAGCGCTGGGGAGAAAGATGAGGCAGTCTGCTTCTGTAAAGATTATAGTACTGGAAACCTTATACGGCAGTTCTACTCTGTCCTGACTCGACAGCAACAAGTTTGGTTTGGGTTTTTTTATGTATCTTCCTACACATTTTTATTTAATGCAGGTATAGGTATATACATACACACAGGCAGACAGACATGCATAGTTTTGTGTAATAAAAATGGAATGTACTCTACATATTGAATGTTATTTATCAGAACAAAAATAAATCTAACAACATAACTGTGTAAAGAAAGAAAAAGAATAAATTATGACATTGTTACCTGATGGAATACTATACAGTCATTAAAAATCACAGGAAGTGATGTGTCATACTGACAAGAGCAGAGGAGAGTTCGATGGATCAGCTGCATACTGTGCATGTTTGAGCAAATTACTTCATCTCTTTGAACCTCAGCTCTTTCATCTATACAACAAGGGTAATGAGATCTACCTTTTAGGGTTGTTATGAAGATTAAATGATACAACACCTAGGACATACCCAGTAAGGGGTAACCATTATCATGATTACTATTGCAAACATTTAATATTAGTCTATGAGAACACTGAATGACATGAGAAAATGGCCACAATATATTTTTTCAATATAAAATATGTTAAAAGCTGCTACAAAGGAGTATATCCAGCATGACACCAATTATGTTAATAAAAATTAATAAAATACATTTATGTATTAAAAATAGTCTGGGGATAAATTCACCGAAATATCGAAAGTAATTAAGAGAGAGATCATATGTGATTTTTACTTTCCTCTAAATGATCTTATTTTCCCTTTTGCTTCTTTTCAAAAATTCTACAATATTTTTATTCTTATAATCAGGAAAAGATATACTTTTTTAAGGCAAGAAACAGAAGAACATGCTGTTAATGGCAGGATAATGAGAGAAAATACTAGCTTTTTGGAACCTGTAAGAAAACAAGAAATTTAAGTTCTGGAATACAGAGTTTACTTACTGGAGAAATAAGAAAAAAACATAAATTTCTCTAGATAATAATGAAAACTGCATTAGGGTAGAGAAGAAGAAAGGAGTAATAAATGTTAATACTGTGACACAGATGTTGATGGGCAAATTTAACAATGTAGAGATACGGGAAAGCGAGAATATCGAGGTATAACATTTTGCTTACTTACAGCATAGAGACAAGGGCATCTTATGAGTAAAATGATGAAAACAATCATGTCTGTATTAGAAATTTAGTCAATTCTTGATTATCTATACTGAAGAATTGGAGAGATGCTATGAAATGTATTCATATATATTTTTATAGAAGATTCACCTTCCAAATAGCTTTTCTTAGAATTAAAATGGATTTATAATCCCTAAGTACATACCAGTTTAGCAATAGGCAAGAGGGTCTGGAAGTAACCTTCCATTCAATTATTTACTTGACAAGAATTTACTGAAGATCTACCGGAGTGAAGCATTTTTAGGTGCTGTATGCATTCTGCCTGCACAGGATATACTGTTTAATAAGCGGGAGAAGGCACAAGATAAACAGCTACAGCCCATCAAAGTGGCAAACAGTACCACAGCGAAGGTACCAATAAAGGCATGGACACATACAGAGAAGGAGCGATTGCATAGAGCGGGAAGGTCCTGGAAGGCAGCCTTGGAGGCAGGGCATAGGGGCTCAGTCCTGAACGGTGGGATCCTGATGCTTGCAGACAGACGGGCAAAGACCCTCTTGGAAGGAGCACGCCCATGGAAAGCACAGAGGCCACAGTGCGAAAGATTTGTGTGTGAAAATATGGCTAATTACATTTGACTGAAAAGAAGAGGAGACTGGAAATACAACTTGGGAACAAATCAGAGAGAGTCTCAAAATCAAATCTGAAGAGAAACCAGGCATGAAATGGCAGAAAAGCACAAGGTTAACATTACTCATAACCTCACCTTCCACCGAGGGATAATAATAACTTAGTTTGTGTGTACACACAGATAGATATATATGTAGAGAATGTATATATTTTTGCAAAGATTGTATCGTTCCGTACATACTAGCAAAAGTTACGACTATTTCCCATGTCAATACTTCACCTGTAACATGATTTCTAAGAGCCACTTAGTTTTCCACCTATTACTTAACTAATTCCCTACTGTTGGATATTTAAGTTATTATCTAATTGTCTGTACGCCTTTAGGTATTTCCTTGGAATAAATTCCCAAAAGGAGAAATTCTAGGTCCTAGGATGTATATTTTTTCCTTCTTTTTTTCAAAATGAAGATAGTTTCTGCTTATACAAATAATACAACTCATAATTTCTAAAATATAATATATGCTCAAGGTGGAGCCCTGGTGGTGCAGTGGTTAGGAGCTACGGCTGCTAACCAAAAGGTTGGCAGTTCGAATCCACCAGGCACTCCTTGGAAACTCTATGGGGCAGTTCTACTCTGTCCTATAGGGTCGCTATGAGTCGGAATCGACTTGATGGCAACGGGTTTTGGTTTTTTGACAATGTGGAAAGACAGAGGTGAAATCCCACCACCCAGCAATAATTAGGTGTTGTTAGTTGCCGTCAAGTTGATTCTGACTCATGGCGGCTCCATAGGGTTTTCTTGACTGTAATGTTAATGGAAGCAGATTGCCAGGCCTGTCGTCCACGGTACTGCTGGGTGGGTTCGAACTGCCAACCTTTAGGTCAGCAGTTGAGTGCAGACCATTTGCGCCACCTAGGGATCATAATCACTGTTAATATTATATATGTATATATTGATGTATGTATATATATGTAATATATGTATATATATATATATACAGATAAAATTTCATGGTCTGATTTTTTTCCCCTCAGTTTTACAACATACTGTGGACCTTACCCCTGCCAATTAATGCAAGCAGGGCATGAATGCTCCTAAGGTTTTTCTACATATTGATAAATTCCCCTCAGGGAATTTCAAAAATTCTACAATGAATATTTTAATTTTTATAATCAAGAAAAGACACACTTTTTTAAAGGCAAGAAACAGAAGAACATGCTGTTAATGGTAGGACAATGAGAGAAAATACTAGCTTTTTGGAACCTGTAAGAAAATGAGACTCTAAGAAAATGCTTGCTTTCCCTCACTTTTGAACTCGTTTAATCTTTATATCAATTCTATAAGCAAAAGTTATATCTATTTATTTTGCATTTCTTAAGTTACTAATGGTTTAAAATTTTTTGTATGATGATTTCTTCATTTATAAGTTTTGTCTTTTTATTGGTATGTAAAAGGCTAGCACCTTTTAGTCAATACTTTCAAATATTTTTGGCATTTTGTCAATTTTTTAATTATTTATGGTGTCTTTTGACATATAGAAGTTTTATTTTTTTTAATATTCTGCTTTTATGATTCTCATTTTAGTGGTAAGTATATATATATATAACATTTATAATTTCAACATTTTTTACATGTACAATTCAGCAACATTAATTACATTTATCATGTTATGCAACCATCATCACTATCTGTTTCCAAATTTTTCCATCGCCCTTAACAAGAGGCTCAGTGCTCCCTGGTCAATGACTCCCTCTTTCCCCCTCCCACCACCCCAGTAACCAGTAATAAACTTTGGTCTCTGTACATTTGCCCATACTAGATATTTCATCAGTGGGATCATATAACATCTATCCTTTATGACTGGCTGACTTCACTCAGCATAATGTGTTCAAGGTTCATTCATTTTTCTTTATGGCTGAGTAACATTCTACTGTATGTATGTACCACATTTTTTTTTAATCCTGTATGTACCACATTTTTTTTTTTAATCCATTCATCTGTTGATAGACATTTAAGTGTTGCCATCTTCTGGCTGTTATGAATAGTGCTGCAACAAACATTCGTGTACGTGTGTCTGTTTCCGAAGTTTTTTATTTTTATGGAGTCAAGTCTAGCCATTGTTTCCTTTATGACTCTGTCCTAGTGAAGGGTCTAGGGGCATGGATGGAGCATTATAAAAATTGTGCTATATGAAAGCTGGAGGCGTGAGAAAGCTACTGAAAATGATACAAGTGACTCAGGGAATTGACAAAAGAACTGGAGCAAATGCAAGGAAAAAGAAGAACTAACAGTGTTTGGCAAAGATGCCATCAAGGATTTGAGCCTGAATATCACAAGGGCACAGATGTCATTAACACAGATGCAGCACATAGGAGATGAGGGAGGTTTGCTTGGGAAGATGAGGAATTAATACCTGGATTAGGGTATAGTGTGGTAGCCAGCCTCCAAGATGGTCCTCAGTGATCCTTGCCCTGAATTCTTGACTCACAGAAACTGTAAGATAATAACAGTTTACTCTCTCAAGTCACTACATTTGGGGTGATTTGTACATAGCAGTAGATTACTAACACAGATATTAGTTGATAATGTCTAGCTGGCAGATAAAATACAGAACTAGGGAGCTGGAAGACATCAGGGCCGGAGACAGAGTTTGAAGAGAGATCTGCTTAGTGTTAAAGGCTGAAGTGAGGATTCTGCCAGGTGACAGCGTGCAGAAAGAGAAGAGGGCCTGCAAAGGACACATGGTTGCAGACATACAGAGGGTGAGGTGACAGACCTAAGACAGAGCAGTCATTTAAACAAAAGAGAGTGAGCACAACAGGGCCATGGAAGGGAAGTACAACAGACCACTAGACTAAGAGGACATTAGCTGATGAGCACACCATGGATCCATGAAAAAAGACATCTATTAGGAAATGAGGCATTCTTCCTGAAGCTAATCATCTACACACAAACTTTAATGTAACAGTTTGGATACTTCATTTTGCACACAGTTTGGAAGGGACATTTTCTGCTGTCATTTATAAATGCTCTAGGAGCCAACCAACAAGATTTGCCTTTAAAAATTTAATTTGAACATACAAAGGGTGTTAAAGTTACCAGAAGTTCAGTGTATTTTGAAACTAATGTATCATTTGAGAAAATGACATAAAATAAACATTGATCAAGGTGAATGTAGCAAAAAAGCATTTCTTTGTACTTAAATGTTTAATTATTCTGCAAAATAATTAGAGACAAAGAATAATGCATGGTTTTTCTCCATTCATTCAGTATTTCAATAAATATTTTTTTAGCACCTACTATATGCCTGATGATCTGCTCCCATGAATATTACAGCCTTGGAAACCCTGTGGGGCAGCTCTACCCTCTCCTATAAGGTTGCTATGAGTCATAATCAACTCAGTGGCACACAACAACAATATTATGTGCCAGGCACTGTACTGAATGCTGAGGGTGGTAGATAATAAAGAAATAAATGAGCGAAATAATTTCAGATCATTATAAATGCTATTAAGAAAATAACCAGGGTGGTGTGATAAGGAGTGATTGAGGTGGAGGATTACCTTAGTTAGGATGGTTGGGGAAGGCCCCTCAGTGGAGGTAACCTGAAGAAGGAGACACAGCCAGAGGGAAGAAAAAGTCAGTGGGATGGAGGAGGGTGGGATATTACTGGGCCTTGCAGGCTACCATAAGAGTGTGGGGAGCTAGGGGTGATGTGATCTTATTTCTTTTCTCTCTCTCTCTCTCTTTTTTTTTTTTAAATAAGATCATTGGTTGCTCTTTGGACAATGGAAGTAGGAGGCCAGAGTCAAGCAGAGTCAACTGAGGCTTAAAATACATAATTGTAAAACCAAAAAATGGTTCCTTTTCCTACTAGGTTAAAAGCCAGCTGAATAGCCCACTGAAAATTAACAGGAATTTGAACTCTTTAACTTTACCTTTGCAAAATTGATCTCTTTTATAACACAGTGCTTGTTATCTGATTTTCCTTTAGCCAAGTATGCTTTCCTGCAGGCACCTTCCTCAATTGCCTTGATCACATCATATTATCCATAGTCTCCAATGCACAGAGCTTCCTGGAATTAGAGTAATGAAATTTTATCTCACATTTTTCATGAAGACCAACAAAGAATATTGATGACTAAAATTTAAAAGAACTCATGTTCCTAAGACTCTCCTTCCAACATTGCCAAGACACAGTGAAATTTTCCTTGTGTCATCAGATAAAAACCAAAGTGAGACAGGCTTGTTGGTGGGCTCTGAGGTCAGACTTGGGTTGTAGATCAGTTTTGATAACTCTAGAATTGTGATCTTAGGCAAGTCACTTAACATCTGTCATAGATTGAATTGTGTCCCCCAAAAATATCTGTCAACTTGGCTACCATCATGATTCCCAGCATTGTATAATTGTGTACCATTTTGTAATCTGATGTGATTTCCTTATGTGTTGTAAACTCAATCACTATGATCTAATAAGATGGATTAGTGGCAGTTATACTGATGAGGTATACAAGATTGGATAGTGTCTTCAGCCAATCTCTTTTGAGATATAAAGGAGAGAAGTGAGTAGAGACACATGGGAACCTCATACCACCAAGAAAGCAGTGCCAGGAGCAGAGCGTGTCCTTTGGACCTGAAGTTCCTGTGCAGAGAAGCTCCCAGACCAAGGGAATATTGATGACACAGACCTTCCTCCAGAGCAGACAGAGAAAGCATTCCCCTGGAGCTGACACCCTGAATTTGGACTTGTAGCCTACTGGACTGTGAGAGAATAAACTTCTGTTTGTTAAAGCCATCTACTTGTGGTACTTCTGTCATAGCAACACTAGATGACTAAGACAACCCCCAAAACCTCAGTTTCCTAAATGCTAAAATGGAAATAACAATACCTTTTTTTAAGGCTGACTGGCAATGAAAGATATTATACCCCCCATGCTTGGCACCTCTATAAAGTTTGACTGTAATTCTTACTACTATATTATCCACCTTATTCTTGAGTAGTTTTACAGTCCAGCCTTTCTCAGTGTGGTGGTACTGCCCATTAGGGGGCATTTTGGAAATTTGTGAGGGCTTTGTTCTCCAGGAGCTCTGGTGGCATGGTAGTTAAGAGTTTGGCTGCTAACCAAAAGATCTGCAGTTCAAATCCACCTGCCAGTCCTTGGAAATCTTATGGGGCAGTTCTACTCTGTCCTATAGTGTCGCTATGAGTCAGGGTCCACTTCATGGCAATGGGTTTTTTTTTTTGGTTTTTGTTCTCTGCAGAGATGGGGAGAGTCCCTAGGTGGTACAAATGGTTAAGCCATTGGCTGCTAACCAAAAGGTTGGAGGTTCAAGTCCACTCAGAGGCACCTTGGAAGAAAGGCCTGGCGATCTACTTCTGAAAAATCAGCCATTGACAATCTTATGGAGCACAGTTCTACTCTGAAACACATGGGGTCACCACGAGTCGGAATCAACTCTATAGCAACTCGTTCTTAAACAGAGATGGAGAAGCACTACTGGTGAAGGAGACCTGCCTGAGGTGCTAAGGTTCTGCAAGGACAGGGGCAGTCTGCATAACAAAGGACTACCCGGTGGCCCACAACCTTGGAAAGTCTCCTCACACATGCTCATGCGTGGAAAATCATTTTATAATTATCTGTAACTAAACCCAAACTCATTTTAAATAGAAATACGAAGTCTTTTTTGTACGGTTTTAATTAATTTAATTGTAATTTTCTAAGAATGCAACTAGACGTAAATCAAGTCTTGACTGCACTTTGAAACTTCACGGAGAATTGTTGGCCATTTTGGAAAATCACGCCCCCTTACTGGCCAGGCAGATCCCGGCTTTGGAGACCCAACAGTCAGCCTTTGTGGCGGAGCGCCCTGCTACTTCAAAACTTTTCTAATGCAACAGTGTCAGCCGGAGCCCTGGTGGCGTTGTGGTTAAGAGTTGGGCTGCTACCCAAAAGATCGGCTTTTCAAATCCACCAGCTGCTTCTTGGAAACAGTATGAGGCAGTTCTACCGTGTCCTATACTCGGACAAGAGTCACTAAGAGTCGGAACCGACTCCATGGCACCGAACAACAACATTGTCAGACATCTACATATTTAAGTACTTTATTATGAATTACCCTCCTTGTATTTCTCTTTTATACTACCCACCCACTGCCCTCGACTGGATTCCGACTCCTAGCGACCCCATGCGTGCGGCTGGTGGTTTCCAACCACCCACCTTTCGGTTAGCAGTCTATGCTTTAACCACTGCGCCACCAGGGCTCCTACAATTAGGGCGTAAATGTGTTTTTGCAGTCATTTCATGTCGGAGTAGGAAGGCGGACAATTCGGCCCGATGGGGCTGGGAACCAGCATTACGGACGGGGAAGGTTGCGGACACCAGAGGACGGGGTTTTGAGCGCTCACGTTGCAGTATCCAGCCCGGGAAAAGAGCCCGCTACTCTCCCAGGGGACACGAGGAGGTGGAAACCCCCAGGTTTAGGGAAAATCCTTCTCCTTGGGGACACCACCGGAGACAGCAAGCCGGTGGTAGGCGCAACTCTTGGCCCCGGGGCGGGCTGGGAAGAACGGGCGCCTCCAGCCCGGGATCTCCGTCTGTTGTCCGTTGTCATGGAGACCAGCGCGGCGCCGGTCCCTAAGCTGCTCCTCTCCCTCCTCCGCCTCCCCGGCCGGGCCCGGTCCCTTTCCTGGAAGCTCCCGGAGCCGTAAAGGCAGCTCCCGGTTAGACTCAGGGCGACGCGCCTGCATCATACCTGGTTCGGGGACTCCGCAGGCGAGAGAGGCGTCCGCGGCAGATCCGGGTTCCGGGACCGCAGCGCCTGCGGACTGCCGGGCGGAGCAGCGCGAGCTGCGGGTGGTGGAGGCGGTTCTGCCCGCCCACAGGCACGCCCTCCACCCCCGGGGAAAGGGCAGGGGGTTTGGAGGCCAGATCGCGGCACCTCCTTAAATCCAGATTCCTTTGCATAGCATTTAACCAGAATACCGCTCCTCGTTCTTACGGTGTACCAGATGCTTGGTATACATTCTCCATTCTCCAGACCATGCTCTCCCGCTGCCTAGTGGTGTCCAAATACACCCTCTCCCCCAATTACACTAGCACATCAGGCTGCTGTCTAGAACGTTTCATTAGGAGTTTAAGTAGGTGAAAACGATGTAATTTTCAGCAAGTATAAATACTGACACAAGTAAAATATACCCAGTGGAATCTAAAAAGTAAGATTTCTTTAAGAATGAGAAAGTTTACATCATTCCTTTTTCTTCTTGAATTCTTATCTCCATTCTACTTCCCCAATAGTCTTCTCCTAACATGTTTTTCATGCTTGAATATCGTATTATACTTCTTACAACCTTATTATACTTCTCTGAAAGAAGGACATAAATTGAAATTAATTTCTATTTCTTGACCATAGGCTCTTATTTTTTATTCTGGATTGAACTATTAAAATTTCTAGAGTTATGCAATTGATCAAAATAAAATATATCACAACATTGACAAATAATTATAAAACATAAAAAGTAAAACTGTATTTGAAATTCATCTCTTTAAGACCTGGGGGGCTTTCTTTTTTCCAATTAGTTCATGTATCCATATGTAAAGAAGCCCTGGTGGTGCAGTGGTTAAAGCACTATGCCACTACCCAAAAGGTGGGCAATTTGAACCCACCAGCTGCTGTGTGGGAGAAAGATGTGACAGTCTGCTTCCTTAAAGATTTACAGCCTTGGAAATCCTATGTGGCAGCTCTACGCTGTCCTATAGTGTTGCTATGAGTCAAAATCAACTCGATGGCAGTGGGTTTGAATCTACAGGTAGATGTTAACTTCTTGCTAGAATAGACAAGGCTCAGTATTGAGTCTCTCCCGTTTTTCAACTTTCTTTTTTTTTGAAGTTGTAAGTGCTGAGAAACCTCATTCATATAAGAAAATAGAGAGGAATGGAAGTTTTGTTAAAAGGGTCCCTCAATTCTTACTAGTCATATGTCAAGAATCATATAGAAGTCTGTAATTAAAAATCAGAAGTCATTATGATGAATGAATTTAGTCTAGCACAGAAGGACAAATATTGTATAAGACCACTATTATAAGAACTCAAGAAAAGGTTTAAACACAGAAGAAAACATTCTTTGATGGTTACAAGGGTGGGGAGGGAGGGTGAGGATTATTTACTAACTAGATAGTAGATAAGAATTATCTTACATGAAGGGAAGGACAGCACACACTACAGGGGAAGTCAGCACAACTGGACTAAACCAAAGCTAAGAAGTTTCCTGATTACAATCAAACACTTTGAAGGACAGAGTAGCAGGGGTAGGAGTCTGGAGACCATGCTTTCAGGGGACATCTAGGTCAATCGGCATAACAAAGCTTATTAAGAAAGTGTTCTGCATCCTACTTTGGTGAGCGGTGTCTGGGGTCTTTAAAGCTTGCAAGCGGCTATTTAAAATGCATCAATTTGTCCCAACCACCTGGAGTAAAGGAGAATGAAGAACAACAAAGACACAAGGAAAGTATTAGCCCAAGAGACAGAAAGGGCCACAGAAACCGGAGACTTCATCAGCCTGAGACCAGAAGACCTAGATGATGCCCAGCTACCACCAATGACCGCCCTGACAGGGAACACAACAGAGAGTCCCTGATGGAGCAGGAGAAGGGTGGGATACAGAACTCAAATTCTAGTGAGAAGACCAGACTTAATGGTCTGACTGCGACTGGAGGAACCCCAGAAAGCATGCCCCCTGGGTTCTCTATCAGCCCAGAACTAAAATAATTTCCGAGGCCAACTGTTCAGACAGGGATTGGACTGGACTATGAGACATAAAGTGATACTTATGAGGAGTGTGCCTCCTAGCTCAAGTAGATACAAGAGACTGAACTGGCAGCTTCTGTCCAGAGGTGAGATGGGAAGGCAGAGAGAGTTAGGAGTTGGGTGACTGGACATGGGGAATCAGGGGTGGAAAGGAGCAGTGTGCTGTCACACTATGGAGAGAGCAATTAGAGTCACTTAACAATGTATGTATAAGTTTTTGTATGGGAAAAAAAGAAAAGAAA